AAGGTGCCAGCACCCGGGCGGCCGGGAGAGGCAGCCCTCCTGGTCTCTAAGGCTGTGAGCTTCCACCCGGGGGGCCTGACATTCCTGGATGAGTTTGTCCCCCCACGCCGTGCCACCTACTTTCTGGCCGGCCTGGGGCTGGGGCCTGGCCGGGGCCGAGAGGCAGCAGAACTCGCCCGTGACCTGACCTGCCCCACAGGAGCTTCAGCTGAGCTGGCCCGGCTGCTGGAGGACCGGCTGCTGACAAGGCAGTTGCTGGCCCAGCAGGGGGGTGTGGCTGTGCCAGCGACCCTGGCTTTCACCTACAAGCCACTGGGGCTGCTTCGGGGAGGGGATGCCAGCCCAGGACTACGGCTGGTGGAGCTGAGTGGCAAAGAGGGCCAGGAGACGCTGGTGAAAGAGGAAGTGGAGACTTTTCTGCGCTCCGAGGCCCTGGGTGATGTCCTGCAGGTAACAGGCTCCTGCCCACCCTGAGGTCTGTACAGATGCCGGCGGGATGGGGTCTAGGCACAGTTACCCAGTCTGGCTGGGAAGGTGTCCCTACCTTGTAGCCCTGCTGCTGCCCCATCTCTAGGGCAATCTCCCACCCTTGTGCCTCAGTTTACTCACTGGCTTCTGTGGTAGGAGCATCCTGCCCTGAAGTACCTGGGGTGGTGTCCAGGAGGCCCTTTTCCCTCCTTGCTGCAGGTGGCTGTGAAGCTCAGTGGCTGGCGCTGGCGGGGGCGGCAGGCATTTCGTCTGTACCCTAGGGAAGAGCTGGGCGCAGTGGTGGACACGGTGCTGGCACTGCTAGAGAAGCTGGAGGAGGAGGAGAGCGTCTTAGTGGAGGCTGTGTACCCACCTGTCTGGCTGCCCTGCTCAGGTGACAGCCACCTGTCCAGCTGCCCTGCTCAGGGGAGAGCCACCTGGGCTGGCCAGGGGTGGGAGCTTGGTGTGGCCTTCTGGTCACTCTGTGCTGGCCTTAGACCTCCCTGTCTTCCCCCAGATGGTCCTTCACTTGGCCCTGGGCTGGCTGTGCGAATCTGTGCTGTGGTCTGTCGGACACAGGGTGACAGGCCACTGCTGAGCAAGGTGAGCATGCCCCAGGCCCAGGTTGTGACCTGCCTGCCACACCCCAGCCCAGTCCCAGTGGTCTCCCAAGGGTCCCTAAGGCATCTCTGGGAAGAGAGGACAAAATCCTGAGGGGAATCCGGGAATTATAATTGCCTCTGGGGGAACTACTGGGTCTGACTGGTCTTCCCTCTCCTGCAACCTTTCCAGAACCGCCCCCACACCAAGAGCCTCTGTGCTCAGCCCCATGCTGAGCACCAGGGCACAGGGGACTGAATCCTCTTCCCAGAGAGTGCTTGCCCACAGAGAGGCTGACCCAGGGCTTCCTGATAAATCTCTAGTGCTCGGAGGGGCCTCTAAGTTGGGGGGTTCAGGAAGGCTTAGGGACCCTTTTGGGTACCCCGCTCTGGGCTACACTGAGAGGGAGAGATTCAACCCTGCCCTCAAGGAGCTCCAGTGGGGTAGGGGAGAGGTGTGCCCCAGGGAGATGCTAGAGTAGGGCACACCAGGGTGGCCCAGGCCCCCAAGGCTGCAGGAGCCTTCCTAGAGCGGTACCCCAGCTGGGCCTGGAAGCCTGGGTAGAATCCCTGGAAGGGTCTGGGGACCAGATGGGTAGTGGCAGGGAACTGCCCTCTGCCCATCTCCAGATAGGCCATCCCCAGATGGGCAGTGGCACGAGCTCCATGTGCAATTTAAGACACACTGGAGGACGGGGCTTCTTGAATGTCCAGTGAGGGGTCTGGTCTGAATCTTGGCACAAGCGGGTAGGGGTGTGTGTCGGGGGCAGGAGTGTGCGGGCCTCCCCCTGAGCAGCCCCCTGACCAGGTGGCATGCGGCGTGGGCCGCGGGGACCGGCCTGTGCGGCACCACAACTCCCTACCGAGGACGCTGGAGGTGGCGCTGGCCCAGTGCGGCCTGGGCGAGGCGGCGCAGGTGGCGGCCGTGCGGCAGCGCGTCAAGGCGGCGGCCGAGGCCGCGCTGGGTGCCGTGCTGGCCCTGGAGGCTGGCCTGAGTGCCGAGCAGCGCGGCGGGCGCCGGGCGCACACGGACTTCCTGGGTGAGTGCGGGCGGCCGGGGCTGGGGTCGGGGGTCGGGGGATGGGAGCGAGGGCCGGGGCTGGGTGGCGGGGGCTGTCCGCGCTGAGCCCGCTTCCCCTGCCTGGAGCAGGCGTGGACTTCGCGCTGACCACGGCAGGCGGCGCGCTGACCCCAGTAGCCCTGGAGCTGAACGGCGGCCTGTGCCTGGAGGCGTGCGGCGCGCTCGAGGGGCTGTGGGCCGCGCCGCGGCTGGGGCCTGCGGCCGATGACGCGGCGGCCGCGCCGCTGGTGGAGACCATGCTCCGGCGGTCGGCGCGCTGCCTCATGGAGGGAAAGCACCTGCTGGTGGTCGGCGCCGGCGGCGTCAGCAAGAAGTTTGTGTGGGAAGCTGCGCGCGACTACGGGCTCCAGGTAGGCGGGGCGCGGGGCGGGGTCGGGCCCCCGGTCCTGGCCTGAGTGGTGGAGGCGGGACTCCGGGGCGGGGCCTGAAGCAAAGGGCCGCCCTTGGGGTGGGGCCAGCCGCGCTGGGGGCGGGGCCCGGGGGCATCTTGGCCCCATGCACCAAAGATAGGGCGTAGGGGCAGGGTTCGCCGCCTTGCGAGTGTGAGGGGACTCCGCTAGTTCTGTCCCTGCCTGGAGTGAGAGGCCCTGGGGAGGGCACGGAGTCCTCCGCAGAAAGAGGAAAGGAGACCGGGTAAGATGGGCTGGGCAAGGGACAGAGCGCCAGAACCGGGGCCTTGAATGCCAGGGGGCCTTGAATGCCAGGCTAAGGAGCCTGACTCTGTCCTGGAGAAAAGGAGGGCCCTTTGAGGTTGAATTCCTGACACTTGACACCCACAGAAGGTGGGTGCTGGAGAGCCGCATACAGATTCTGAATCAAGTTCATAGCAGGGCCTCGCATTACAGAATCTGCAGCGAGCCAGGCACTTAAGACTTTTTTTTTTGAGACAGGGTCTCACTCTGTTGCCCACACTGGAGTGCAGTGGTGCGATCACAGCTCACTGCAGCCTCGACTTCCTGGGCTCAAGCGATCCTCCCACCATGCCTGG